ATCTTCCCCCTGTATGTTTCTGTGTACAAAATTTCCTTTTTTAAAATGACACCAGTCATATTGGATTAAGGCCCACCCAAGTGACCTCATTTTAACTCAATTATCTCTTTAAAAGCTGTATTCCAAATAAAGTCACATTCTGAGTTGCTGGGGGTTATGACTTCAATATATGGATTTTGAGGGGACACAGTTCAGCCCATAACAGACAGTAAGACATTTTGCCAGGTGACTACAATGCAGAGCAGTAAGAGTTTTCTCAAAGTAAAGAAACATTACTCCTGAGGTTTAGAGAAGGTAGGATCAACTTCCTTTGGAGGTAGAGGGAAGTTCCCAGGGTGCAGGAAATTGAGCTGGACTAGAGTACATGACCCAGCCTATGAGAAAGAGGATTCCACCCTACAGCATAGAGGGCTTTTGAATGTGAGGGGTCTAGGAGACTGAGTGGAAACAGACAGAGGAGGCCCAATTCCAGGCTGAGATCTGAGGTTCAGGCTGGCAGTCCTCAGACCTCTACTGCTGGAGTTAACTCCCAGCAGCATTCTCACCTGCCTCCATGGCCCTGCTCTCCCTTGTCTGAAGGGGCTCAACTCACTCTCCACCTTCCTGGCCTCCAAACAGACACAAAACTATTCCCTCTGTCCAAGAACCAAAGTCAGCCTCACCTAAGTTGTCCACACACCTCCAGCTGATGGAGCCTCATGTCTCCTTTTCTGCTTAACTGACTCAGGACTTAGTGATCTGGCATTAAGCCTTGAAGCAATGTTCACATCATTCTTCCTGCCCATCTGCCTGACACAGAGTCCTTGTGCAGCCAGAAGGATTCCAGAAGAGCACTTGTATGCCAATAAAGAAATTGGACAACTTAGAAAAATGGACAAGTTTTTAGAAACATACAGTCCACCAAAACTGAACCAAGAAGATATATATCATTTGAATAGACCAATCACTAGAAGTGAAATAGAATCAGCAATAAAAAATATCCATGCAAACAAAAGTCCAGGACCAGATGGCTTCACTG